CGGCTCTGGTTTGGGCTGCAGGGGAATGAGGACAAGGGAGGTGGTGTCGGAGTTGCTCTGGGATCGAGCTGTTTCTAGCCCTGTACGTCTAACTCGCTCACCTCTAACCAGTGCTTTTAATTCCCTTAATGAAAACACTGTCGGGCAATTAAGTAGCTGGCTGACTAACCCGCTCCTGTTTACTTAAAGTTCATGAAACTCAGCCAGCTGCGAAAAAAAAAAAAATAAAATAAAAATATCCATACTGAGCTCTGACACTGTTATAAAATAAACGCCTCGTTTGGAAAGTAAACACGTAGTTTCTCTTGCTGTTTGTTTTTTAATAAATGCCACGGCACAGCAGCGCTCTGTTCACCGCCGGGATTTCGCAACGAAAAAAAGACTCAGGATGGGCTAAAATTAGACTTATTTGCTTGAAAATAAGCCCCGCCAAAGCGCTGCGATGTGAGGTTTGGGTCAGGCTGTGCCTCCCCGGGCGGGAGAGCGGCTGCGCTCACCCCTGGATGCTTCCCGTGGGTTTGCGATGGGGCTGCGGCCGCACCGGCCCCGGGCAGCTTCCATCTGCTATTTGCACAATTAAGTTACTTATTTGCTGTGATTTTAAAAGAAAAGGGCCTGGCCTGTTTCTCAGCTCGGGTACCCAGGGAACCCCGCGTCACTGAACAAATAACCAACCTGGCTTAGCCAAACGCCAAGGAAAAAGTCTCAATAAAGCCACTAAAATAAGAAAGATCTGCCCCCTGCCTGGATTCCTAAGAAAAAGGTCTCGCCTCTTCAGAAAATTTCAGCTGCTGATTAATTTCACACGAAATCCAGCTCGGGATGCGCTCGCGGCTCCGTGCGATGCGGTGCCTCGTGCAGAAAGCCCAGGGCTTCCATCGACTGCCCCGCCAAGCCAGGGCGACACTGAAGATTTCTGCAAGGTCTGTCTTCAAAAGTTATGAGATTTAAACAAAAGAAGGGAGGGAGGAAGGGAAATGCTGGGATGGTTTGTCCGTTTGTCAGGTTGCATGTCTGAGTGCCCCTGTCTCACCTTGTCCCGGCTGTAGGGCTATCCACGACCCCCAAACAGTGTGAAAAATGAGCAAATGAGTAAAAGGAATCGAGTTTTTGTTACGGAAAAGCAGCACCCCTGATCTGCTGAGCGGCTGGGCTGCTGAAACTGAAAATCCCCAATTGCACAAGCCCTAGAAAACATCCCCAAATCCCAGCCCCGCGCCCGACCCTCATCTGCAAGCCAGAGTTTGGAAATGAAAACCCTTCCTACAGCCTCATCGCTGCTTTATTTTCTTCTTCTGTCACCCAAAGGGCTTCTTCATTCCCTGGTGCTTCTCATCCAGACCTTGTTCTCCCACGTACACATCCCAGTAAACGTGCTCCCTCTCAGATGGAGGTGGAGTGGGACCAGGACGGCTGCAAGCCCCCTGCCCCCCTCTGCCGATGGGAAAGGACACAACAGAGCCGGGGACACACCAGAACCGTCTCCACCAGGATCCTGCTGCTGAAAAAGCAGGAGATTCGGCTCTGCTCTTCTCATCCTGGCACAGGCGGCTTCCCCTGGCGCCACGATTTAGGCACCGGATTTGAGAAGACGCGAAAAAAAATGCAAAAAATGGGCAAATGCCAAAAAAACCCACCTTTGCTCAAAACCAAAGACCATCCTCACACAGGGAGGGCTCAGCAGCCAGGGGTGGGTCCTCAGTATTTTTAAAACTAGGTTTTATTTTTGCCACACGTAAAGCCTTTCCCGAAGAGCGGCGGAACCGGCCCTGCCCGGCTCGGCGCGGGCCAGGACGACGCTTTTTTTTTCGGCTGAGCCGCCATTTCTGCCCGGGTGGGTCGGAGCCCCCAGCGCTGCCCGCAGGCACCTTCACACCAAACTTTGTGGAGGAATTTTGACAGAAGCCACAGGAGCCGGGCACTGCCAGGGGGTCACGGGGCTGTCCCACGCCAGCCGGCTCCGCGGCCGCTCCTGGCCAGGCTCACCCCATCCAGCCCCCTCCAAGTTCTGAGCTCACGAGCACTCGCCGCAGTCCGAGATAATCACCTTCTGCTTCGGTTTCCCGTCTTTGGTGCCCTGAGCCTTGGAGAAAGGAGGAGCAGGAATTAATGGCACGAAGCCCAAGGGCAGGATGGAGGTCGGCTCTGCGCTGATCACCCGGCTGCCGGCACCTACCTCGATCTGCCGCACCACGTCCATGCCCTCCGTCACCTCCCCGAACACCACGTGCTTCCCGTCCAGCCAGTCTGTTTTATCACAAGTGATGAAGAACTGGGAGCCGTTGGTGTTTGGGCCGGAGTTGGCCATCGATAACAGCCCTGTGATCAAAGAGTGCAGCATTACAGGCGGGGAGGGAGCGATGAGCTACTTCAACCCAAACCCATCCCATGGTCTGCAAAACAGCGCCGGTTTTCGGAGAGCTTCAGAATATTAAACTTCATAGATACCGTTGGAAACCAATTACACTGAGAGAGAAACACTTGCAAGCGTGGAAGATGGAAAGTGGTGGAGATTGCTCATCTATTTTTAGTTGCAGTAATAGAAAAGCTGTTTGTATGGAGATAAACCTGCCGGCTTTTTGCTGCTTTTTGTAGTCACACTGTGACTCTCCTCCTTTAAAATCAAATCAGAAAGATTAACAGCGCGTGGATGGAAAAAGAACAACATGTTTCTGCCTGGATGGTGACACGCGACAGTCTGACCACGGAGATTACAGAGTGACAGAAGCGTTTGGCCAACACAGATTATAATTCAGAGCTGCCACTATCAACACGGTCTGGGTCAAACCAGACCAAGCGTGGCCCCTGGATGATGTTGAGCCATTCTGCGCTCCGGCCCCTGCCCAGGGAGATGACTCTACCTGGCCCCGTGTGTTTGAGAATGAAGTTTTCATCATCAAACTTCTTCCCGTAGATGGATTTGCCTCCAGTGCCGTTGTGGTTGGTGAAGTCGCCGGCCTGGCACATGAACTGGGGGATGATGCGGTGGAAGCTGCTCCCCTTGAAGCCGAAGCCTTTCTCGTGGGTGCAGAGGCAGCGGAAATTCTCTGTTCGGGGGCGAGGCGGAGACAGGTGAGAGCTGCGTCGCGGCTGGAAGCCCCAGCGCTGGGAGGCTGACCCTGTCCTCACCTACGGTCATGGGCACCACATCTGAGCGCAGGAGGATCTGCAGCCGCCCCGCAGGTTTGTTTCCGATCTTGATGTCCATGTAAACTTGAGGGTTGACCCGGGATTTCTTGGCAGGAGGCTCACCCTGGGCAAGAAAAAAAAGCAAGTTGAGATGACATTCCTCTGCTCTGCCTGGCCTCACGCTCTCAGCCTTCGGGACAGCAGGGATACAGATGGCTCCAGTTGGTTTTCCTACCTCCTGCACCTCTGGTTTGGGGGCCTCTGCTCCTGCCTCCTCTGTGTTCTCCTCCAGAGTCTTCCCCGAAAACTTCTTCAGCCAGTCGTCATCCGACCAGACTGCGATGGCAAAAGGAAAGGTCAGAGCACAGGGACCGAACCGAAGGGCCACACGTGAACAGGCACACGGCTGCACGGGTCAGGGCACAGCACGGAGCTGGCAGCAGGATGGCACCCGAGCTGCGGGAGCGCTTGGCTGGCAGCAGCCTGCCCCAAACAACACAGGACACAGGGCAATTGCTCCGCATGGCATTGGCCCCATCTGCTTTTACAGATGTGGCCAGATGTGTGGGTAATTTTGCCTGGCACTTGTGCACGTGCTGTGCCCTCTCTCTCACAGAGCATGAAGGCAACTGGAAGTGCAGCCAAGAGCGTTTCCATCCAAGGAACTGTGCGATATTTTTGGTTATTTGATTATTAGGATGCTGCTTGGATCCTCAAGATCCCAAACAGGAGGCGGAGCAGAGGTCTCCACCTCGGGGTCTGGGAACCAGAGAGAAAGGCTGATGCCTGAAGCTCTAAACATCCACGAGGATGCTCTCCCCTGCCGGGCACCAACTCACCAGGCCTGGATGATCCTTCTTTAATTCGCATTGGTTTGGCCAAGTTCACACGAATTGTTCTGCCAAAGAGCTCAGACTCGTTCTGCAAAGGCAAAAAGCAGAACAAAGCCCACCAAAAGGTAAAAAATCACCACACACCCCCAAATCCCCACAGAGGTCGGAGGTGAACAAGACTTTGCTTTCTCTATGTGGCCCACGTCACGTAGGGCCTCGCTCTGCGCTACCAGGCATTGGTTTGGCCAAGTTCACACGAATTGTTCTGCCAAAGAGCTCAGACTCGTTCTGCAAAGGCAAAAAGCAGAACAAAGCCCACCAAAAGGTAAAAAATCACCACACACCCCCAAATCCCCACAGAGGTCGGAGGTGAACAAGACTTTGCTTTCTCTATGTGGCCCACGTCACGTAGGGCCTCGCTCTGCGCTACCAGGAAGACGGCAAAGCCACGCGGGCGAGTGGGAACGGGGTCCGTACCATGTTGTCAATAGCTGCTGCTGCATCCTGCCAAAAAATGCAAAAGAAAATAATTATTACCATTTCTCCCCTCTCTCCCTTTAAAATCAAGGCTCAGCCTATATGTGCTGCAGCATTTTGTTGCAAAAAAAAAAGATTGCCAAAGCACAAATCTCATCTACCCCTGGGCTGTAAAACTGATGGATCTTGCACGAGCCGTAGCCAAACCAGTATCCGGGATTCACCTTCCCACAACCAATCCAGTAAACTCGTTTTATGTATGATGCTTTAACGCTTACAAAAAAATATCTGGGAAAATAGGAGAGAAGCCCAGGACAGATTATAAGATGGCAAATACGTGGCAGTCTGCTGCCCACAA